TGTTGCTCTGTATTTAACTGGCTGATTAAGAGCGAGTGCTCATGTTTCATCTTGTCCACATCATAATCTAACTCTTCTCTCAAACTGCGAACTGCGATTTGCAAGCCTATCCATCATCAAATTGCTTGGTTGCGGTAAGTGATGCTTCAACAAAGAACTATTTGCAGCAACAAACAGTTTTTCTAACTCGTACAAAAGTAAATTTCTAACTTCATCTTGGTATTTAGAAACATTTTGCAAGCCAAAAGCATTCATCATATTTTTCACAATGTCATCACACATCGTCTTCCAATGCGTTTCAAACAAAGCTGATGGATCAGCAACATCACAAAAGAGAACCAATGTGACAAACAATTGCCTAAGTTGAGAGGATGATGCAGTGAGAACAGCTTCTAACATAGCGTTATTCCATTCCCTATCATCACCTAATAAACCAAGAGAGGTGCATGCAGCTTGAAATGTGGGTTGAAGAACAGCATTGACGGTCCTCAGATGGTCAAATCCAAAGCTGCCTTTTTGGTAATTTAGCAACAATCTCAGGTAATATAATTCACCGGCAGCAGGGTGAACATATGCAACCCTACCTAAAGATCTGCCTTTTTTTCTACGGGACCACTGTTTCTCATCATTTTTCCATACATACTTTGTAGGAAATTCAACGTAAGATAACTCACGTGCATCAGGGTCTTCAACATTGGTTTGAAACCATTGTGTTAACATTGTGCTTTCAAGATTAGGGTTGTTAACAACATGGTTGAGATCATCAGTCTCTTTGAAAACCACATTTTGGTCAGATGGAAGGTGCACAGACAATCTCTGAACCGATGGTTCTCTAAAATGAATGTGAAACTGTAACAATCTCCAAACTGCTTCGTAAGGGCATAAGTATCTACAGTTTAGATAAGCCACAATCTCATCAAACTCTTCATCCTCGAAAACAGCTCTAGCTCGATCAGCACCTTTAGTTATGTACTTAAAAAGATATTTAATAAGCATCGATTGACAACATGATTCAACATTTATATGTGCTTGATACTTCAATAATAGCTCACGGTTGTAAGGGACGACAAATGCATTATCAAGCTTGATTCCATTTTTTTGAACAAAAAGATTTTCTATATCTCGACGCTTATACTTAACAAAACCCTCGTCAGAAAAAGTGGTTTCACTTGTGAAAGATTTAGGAAATTTTTTTGAACACTTGTTTTCTTTCATGCAAGGTGAAAATTTATTTGCAGCACCACATGGACCGTGTATCATGTATTGTGAAACTGCATCATACCCAGCCTTGTCACATCTTTGATCAGGAATCTCAGCCGAAATTATAGAATCAACATCATAAGGAGAATGACACTTATAATGCTTTTTGACCCAAAGTAAGATATGACAATGAGGAAGACCTCTTTTCTGGAACTCCACTGTGTAAAGGACTGTTAATCAAAATAGAATGTAGATACATCAAAATTATAGACTTTTTAGATTTGTATCAAAAAGACAAAAAGAAATAAAGGGAAAATTTTGGCCAAGAAAAATATACTGACCAGATTCGACGTCGCCAAAAGGTTTTCCTGATTTGAGGTATTTAATCATATGGTCAAGTTTTGCCTTAAAAATTCTAGAAATTAGATCTGGTCTATCTTCAGCTTTACAACCAGGTTTATCACGCAGATCTTCAATAATTTCAGGCCATTTAGCATTACAGGTAAAAGTGATAAATAAATCAGGATTTCCAAACTGACGACATATAGCCATGGCATCCTGATAATTATTTATCATATATCTAGCACTACCTGTAAACGAAGTTGGCAGAATAACCCTCTTGCCAACAGCAGAACCAGCTGCATTTCCTGCTTTAAGTGCTTCATGAATTCCTTTAAGACCTTCTGTTCTCAAAGAATCTTGATTTGCTCTAATGAAATCTAACCTGTCTTCTTCAAGTGTCGCATATGCATCAACCAAGTATTGTTGAAACAATCTCCCACCTTTTAACAGGGTGTCAGTATGGCCTGGTCTATCCTGAATTTGATAACCAAAAAATGCTCTCATGGATACCCCGCTGCCATCCTTTGGTTTTCTCCCCCTAAAATTGGGATTCCAAGGGAGACCTTTCCTATAACCATCTTCACCGTATGGGAGAAGAAGAGGATATTGAAGTGCCATGTACTTAGGATGTAACTTTGTGATTCTCTGCAGGCCATCAGTCTTATGCTCCACAACAATATCTCTTTCGGTGTGAAATTGGCCGATATCCCCAACTATCAACCCACCAATCCCGTCACATGTCGGCAAATTGTACTGCACATCACGATTGCTCTGTGCACCATATAAACGCAGCCTTAAATTACTTATGGACCCTTCATTAATCCTATCCCTGGCGAGCCTAAAAAGCTTAACAACTTCATTACACTCATCCAGCATTTTGATGAGGTCACCAACAATCTGTTGATCAAGTTTTTCAGACGGTTCTGATCCATTGAAACAATTGATACGATTATTGACTTCATTTTGAGTGTCATAAATATACAGTTATGCAAACTTAGGATCGCTGCCTTCTGGAGGCAACAGAGAACCCATCAAATGATGTACCTAACCGTTAATCTTAAAAACATATGGACCCCGACGCTTGTTGATAGACGGATCAACTTTGGCCCCCATTGAAGTTAATGCCATTATTGAATTATATGATCTAATATTTGTTTTAAACTTCAAAAAGGCTTGAGAATTCATGGGGTTTAACAAATGTTCCAAATAAGCAGGAGTGGGTTTAGCACGTGCAAAGTGTACTTTGTTGCTCATGCAACACGCAGTAAATTGCGGGGTTGAAACAGAGGAAGTATGCTTAGCATGCTTCTTTGTTTGCTCTGCAGGCCAAAACAGAGCATTGCAGTATTGACATTGGCAATCTCTTAATCCAAAATCAACATATTCTGGATCAATTCCTATAGAAAACAAAGATTAATAGAAGCATAAATGAAACCAATGAATAGAAGTTGATCATAGAAGAAATGTTAAATTTTCAAACCAGCAAGAGAATGCAAAGAAAGTCACATTGGAAGATTGCATACTTTTTCTTTTTTTCTGATAAGCTGCTTGTCCAGTGATGAGCGAATTTGCAACAGAATTAACACTTTGAGTATCTCTGGCTAATAGATAGTGTAGAGTAGCACGATCAGCAAGACAAACAGGTACAGAAATTGGTTGAGAACTTGTCCCAGCTTCCAAAGGTGAGGCAGAATCATCATTGGAGGGAAAATTTCGTTCAAAATTTGATGCAAATGTGTGGGAAGGGTTGCTTCCACTGTTTAAAAATAGCAAAGAGCTTGAAGCATTGCTGTATTCATTGTTATAAATGGTGGGAACATCTTGTAACACCAAACTATTCAGATCAACGACTGCAACAGATGCAGGCAAATCGGCATGTTTAGTTCCAGTGGCATTGCTAGCTACCCCTATTCTTCCAGACATAAATCTACACAGACGGAAAAAACCACACGGTAGTGGTTTATTTTCTAATTAAAGCAATGCCACGATGAAGTAACCATGTTAACCACATGGAATGACCAGTGAACCACAACCCATTAAACCAGGAGGTTTTCAAAATCCTGACCACGTTGTAAACATAATAGTAAAAACATAATCCTAGCCCTTTTACCAAAAAAAAAAAAAGGAAGAATACAAAAAGTTGATCTGCAGCTGTTTCCTTAGAGAAAGATGTTTCATAGTGGAATACGGAAAAGGAACAAATAAAACGAATTCTGACAACAAAAAAAGTGCGCTAAAGGTAAATAGCAAAAGATGAAACAACAACGCTACCATGATTCAAAAAAGACATGCATTGACAATCAAGCGTGTAAACCAAGAAAAGAGTGGATTAAAAAAAAAGGCGATGGTTTTTTAAAGGGCCAAAAATCTAACCTTTGTAGATGTGGAAGCCCAGCTGCTACAAATGTTAATGAAGAACAATGTAGGACCCCCAATGATCAAAACAGAACCTGGACAAAGAGGAAGACATTATATAAAACACATATATAATTGGAGGGAAATAGAAAAGCAAACAAACATTAAACAAAAAAGGGCAAGTCACAATTCCAATTCTATGCCATTAGTTCTGTAGGACATGCATGCATAAATTTGAAAGAAAGAAACAAATTATTTAGGCTCTATTCATTCTAGAACGGTAAACGGTGCGAGACGATAAGTGCACAGTTAACAATCTAACCCGTTTATTTAAAACAACAAATCATTTTTAGCAGTCAAAAATGGAGTTGGGCTTTGCGCACTTAATCAACAACAAACATAGAAAGTAGTTCTAATCCATTATGTAGGACATGCACCAAACATTTTTCGAGTAGAAAAAAAGATGTATTGCCTAAAACCAAGATGATTAGGGTTTGAAACATTGAAATTTTTTTCCCTTCGTTAACCAATGAAATGCACCAAGATAAACGAATCATGTAGAATCAAACCCGATCTAGGAAAAAGAAGCATATAAGACAAAAAAAATAACAACAATGCAAAACAGTTTTCATTCATCCAATAAAAGGCTAAGAGGATTAAACAAATCATCAAAGATTGCAACAATCAGAAAGTCGGAACTTGAAAGTTTGCATTTGCTATGTCTGATCCCATAGACGTTGGAAAAAATGTTCATTACATATATTCAAGAAAAGGTAGAAACGAATGATGCAATTCCATCACTTGCGATAGCATACATCAGGCTGGAATCTAAGCCTGAAAAAATAATATCTATCCATCGCATATCATCCATAGAATTGTCAAGTTCCATTTCAATTTTCATCATTATAAAAATAAATATTTACTATGGTTATTATATTATTCATTTTTTAACTAAAAAAAGATTATTTTTCCAAACCAACAAAAACAAAAAGTAATCATATAAAGTTATATGATTAGTAACAATAATGCCATTAAGGAGGCGTTGCAAGAAAAGTATTTTAAAACACATAAATTTGATGGAACGATTATATACTGCCACGATGAATGAGTTAGAGTGAGATCAAGGTAAAACATAATCGTTGTATATATGTGTTAGAAACTCTTTAAATTTTTAGCTTGCCATTTTTTTCTTTCATTAAAAGTAGATATGCCCCATAAGCTCAATTATAGGTAGACAAAATCTAATTAGTTACACGATGCAGTTTTTTATATACTTATATGAAGACAAATGGACCGAGTATGTGTAAACAAATTGTTAGTAAAAGAATTAAGCAAACCTAACCAACAACTACCATGCAAATTGTATAAGTGACATATAACTTTGTTTTGGTTTAATAGAAGCACCAGAGTAGTTTTTTATATGCAATATGAGAAAGAATTCATTACGGCACAAAAACTCATGGATTAAAGCAAAGCCAAAAAAAGTCAAAGGCACACAATCGATGGTCTTCATCATCGTGGGGTAAAACTCTAGCTAAAGAACTTGGTGCATCTACTTGGGAGATACTCAAGGCAGCAGAAGATACTGCTCCAGCATGGTGAACAAATACTGCCACAGAAGATGCTACATCTATCTAGGGCAAAAGTGAAGAATCCATGACATTTCCCCAAGGGGCAAATAAGGGAAGTGAAGATGACACACCATCTTGGGGGAAAACTGCAGCTAAAAGAAACATCCACATCCACTTGGGGGAGAGATAAGACAGCAGAAGATATTGCTCCTGCTTGGCGGAAATACAAACAAAACATGGGAGAGAGTTTTCGGAGTTTATAATCTAAAGAGACATAACACCACATGAGGACCTTGACAACACTTGAAAGTGCATCCCAAGTGCGAAGGCTGTTAGCCATCTCTATCTCACCGGCAATTCTTGCAGGGCACAATGTTGCCGTTGTAATCATGCCTCACTCTTTCTTTGCTTCCGTAGTTAGTTTCCTAACCTTTGTTTTCCGGCATTGTGCTTCCCGCACAGAAACAGCGAGGAGACAATCGTTACGGTTTTCCAAAGGCATGGATACAATCAAGAAACCATTAGTATTCATCCCACCATGTACCCAAACTTCACCCATTCTTGAACCCACCCTCTACAAACCGCACTTAGCCCTTTTATTTTTAAATTCTTGGATTTGTTGCACGATATGAATGTCTTCCATATTCTAGTAGTGATATATCAATCGAAAATAAGAATGTAAAACTCATGCACACCTCGTCTTTCCCGACCAAAAAACCAACCTAAAAACCACATTAACCACCACAATTTTTTAGAGTCCAGTCATTGCTCAAAACAAATAACTTGCACAACATAATCATCCATACAAATAGAATTTAACCAACCAAAATTTTTTGAGTTACAAAAGAGAATAGAATCTTTACAAAAATCGACCAAAGCTGCAATTGGAAAACCAATCTGCTGAATTTTAGCAATCTTGCATATACATTGGCTTTGTTCAGCATCAGACCAAATAAGCAAAGAAATTATTCATTCATGAGAACAGGCAACCGCATAAAACTATAAGCAGAGAAACATAATACCAAGACCATGAGGTTATCAACAGCAAAAAAATATCCTTAAATGATACAAAGTTGTATCAAAAAGGTGTAAAAAAGAGTATTAACAACACTTCATAGTTAAGATGCTAAAAGGGTCACGAAAAAACATTAAAGTGCGATACAAAAGTGTACCAAAAAGTTCAAAAAAGAGTATCAACAACATTTTATGCTTACAATGGTTAAAGGGTTAATTGTTTACATTATTGCCCTTATCACCAAACAAAAAAAATTTACACTACCCTTATCTTATCCATGACCCACGTCGTCTCAAGACATTTAGAACCCAAAAGGTTGTTGCAGCAGAGGCAAGCAAGAACAACAAAACTCCAACCTTTTTCGAACGATCAAACTTGAACATTCCACGAAAAAACCCCAAAAATCGTTGCAAAACATTATCATTCATCGGAACTTTTTCTTTCGGCGGATTAGTACGATTTGCAGGTCGATACATAGTATGGACCACCAACTTGTTCCGATTCGGACCTTTACCATAAACACGCAAACCCATCCTTGTTTTTTCTATTTTCACTGCTCTCTTGTACCAGATCCCGGGGGAGCATCGAAATATCTCACTAATGTCCCTCGATTTTTTTCTTCGTTTCGTGCCTTAACCAGTTCCCTTAAATTTTTGACCAAAACTCCTCCTAGAATTTGTTGTTCTCTTCGATCAATCTCATTCATCATTTTATTTACCCTGAATCAGAAATTAAATACAACATTAATATTGATGGTTTTTCAAAATATATTTAACTTTCCAGATTTAAGAATGACACTGTGATAAATCTTTAAAACTCAAATTAATAAAGTAAATGCATAAGAGCTCCCAAAAGTTAGATAATTATTAAAGAAAACACAACCAAAAAGTATTTTGACAGTGTTGTAAATCAAATTTTGAAGTGATAGCTGATAAAGAAGCTACAAAACCTAATTATTCATGAGTTAATGCGCTTTGAATGTAAATGCTCACGAATTTTTCTGAACATCTAAGATGTATTTCATGAGTTGTTAAAAGGCAACTCATTTTCTAAAACGCTGGTTTTTTTTTTTTTTTTTAAAAATTCTGATTTGTTGAGAAAGTGCAGTTATGAACAGCATATGTTAAAACAATTCGGGAACGATGAGATAGTTAACTATCGGAAAAACCTAATTAAAACACCAACCAACCAATAACAAAATCACAGAGATAAAATGGCTAACAACATTCGATAAAAAAAAGCTACAACGCTGGCCTAAACCAGAATAAGAGAGTTAGCAAGGGACCTTCAACTCTAACAGGATCACACAAACAAAGTTCAAAGAAAAAAAAACAAACAAACCATCCAACCATTGGACAATTAGATCCCAAAAACCACCCAAACTAACCACACAAAGAGGACAAAAAACCGAAACATGGAGACATGAACACAAAACCTGTAATTAGATCTGAATCACAAAATGCCAAAACAAAATTCGTAATCTAACCATCCCTATACTAACAGCCCATCCAAGCAAATACAAATCTAATAGGGTTTAGAACAAATAAACCAATCATCCATTTTGAATGTTGTTTGGAACAAATACACCGACCACTCAGTTTTCTCAAGCTTTACATAAATAGACAGATACAGATACGTGTACAAAATAGAAAGAAGCCCAGTTCCACTCTAAAACTTAAACCACCAAATAAATACTCAGTTATTCAACATTTGCATAAATCAACAGATAACAGATACACACATAAAAAAGAAAAAAACTCAGTTCCAATAAAAGCTAAAATAACAAAAGTTAATCATATATTTAAAATCCAAATATGAATGCTTCACGAATATAAATAAAAAAAAGGTAGATAACTAATCAGGCTTTGAAAAAAAAATGATGGCACATAATTATATACCTCAAAACATCAAGGAACCAACTTCTTCCTCCAACGATCGAAATTTCTGAAATTTGCAAAAAGTAAATCCATTAGCAACCCTAA